GCTGACACCGCCGATGTAATTTTTCCTACCCCATCACAAAGTTGGTATAAAATTGCTGACACCGCCGATGCCATAATTCCCCACCCCATCACAAAGTTGGTATAAAATTGCTGACACCGCCGATGTAATAATTCCCGACCCCATTATAAAGCTGGTATAAAATTGCTGACACCGCCGATGTAATTTTTCGCATCCCATCACAAAGTTGGTATAAATTTGCTGACACCGCCGATGTCATAAAATGTCGTTTTTAAAATAACGCTTAGCGTTGAAATATTTAGGTTGAATACAATTTACATCATGTATCACATAAATTATACTATTTTGAAAGCTTTTCACCATATAATGAAGGATGAGCTTAATAAAAACAAGGACACTTATTGAAAAAAAAATATTTCTAATTAACTAAAAAAGTAGAAATATTGACCCCCCCCCCCAACCATTTTTCCTCATACCACCAGGTGTTCTGCTATAGTTTTTCAACCCCCCCCCCCCCCCCCATCACCACCCCAGCACCTCGTATGTCGGAGAAGAATATTATAAAACTATTAATATTCTTTTCTGTCATAGAATGTCACAACACTACCCACCCCCACACTGTCATAGACTGTCACAACATCCCCCACCCCCATACTGTCAAAGACTGTCACCCCTCACCCCCACCCCTATACTGCAACAACACAACCCACCCCCTATACTCTCATCGACTGTCACTTAACTTCCCACCCCCACCCTCTATACTGTCATATACTTTCTCGATACTCTCTATCCTCCCCCCCCCCCCATATCATGGCATACGATTACACTAAATTCAACCCCCCCCCCAATGTCAATAGCATTCTCTACAGTACCCCTCCCATACTGTCATAAGTTTTTCCCATCATGCCCCACCTCTATACTATCATCAGTGCTCATAACACTCTCCCACCCCCAAAAAATGTCATAAGCGTTCACAACCCCCCCCCCTCCCCCTCCCCACCCCGAATACCCCTGTTCCATCGTCAGCATTTCTTAGCGAAAACAACCTGACGACATTACAATCAACAGTTATTAGCAACGTAACGATGAAAAGAAAAAACAAATCCCAAGCACCGTTGAAATATGCATGAGTGCGTGCAGTGTTTCGAGATGCTTACAAGATTGAGGGGGGGGGGGGGGTGCACGGACCTGTGATCAGCAGACCGTGACGATAAGTTCACAGTTCCGCTCACGCTGGCCCGCGTCATCACGACCGGTTTGAACAGCTTTTGGTCACGGTCTAGTGATTGTGCATTTCCGATACCCAGATCTTGTTTGTTTGCTTGCGAATGTGGGAAAGGGCTGTGGGTGGGGTGGTTCATGATACGGCGATAAGGGTTCGTAAATATTATTTATTTCTTTGTCTTTACGAAAATTGATAGGCCCTAATTAGTAATTAAATGAATACATTGAAATGTGTATAGAAACACGGTAGCTTTTTGGTATAATGCCAACTAAAAAAAATTGCTGTGTTTATTAGGAAGGCTATCTAAACTTCATAGGTTCTTGCTAAATCAAGTCACCTCCGCTGGTATATCAAAATGCTACATAAAGTAAATAAGCAAACCATAATATTAAGTAAAGAATCCGCTTTAGACAGCGATTCATAGGGCAGATGAAGTAGAGTTCATGTTTCTTGATCTCGGCTTACGAAGGGAAGGTGTAGTCAGCACTATATTTTCCCTAACATGAGTCAGGTACCCATCAGGGCTGGGTGGACTCAGAGACGTTCTATTGATTTGAAACTGGTTCGCTCTACCGCTTAGGGCACGTCGTCCCATAAACAATACGATAAAGACTTTGGTTCACTGTTTAATTGAACTAAATACTCCTTCCTCGACCCCCTTCCCCCCCCCCCCCCCCTGTTGGTAAACTTGTAAGGTCCCATCACTTCAGTAGGTTACCCTGCTGTGTTGTCATACGAACTAGAACAGGCTGTAATCAAATCAACGGCAGATATCACCTTTTATAACTCAATAACCATCTAAACTGTATGCAGTTGTGTTCGTTTAGCTTAGAGATTTAAGGACGTGTCTGTTGAAGATCATAAGTTTACAACAAAGGGTGATTGGCCCGCCAAAAAAAACAAAACATTTTGGCCGTCAGTAACGATGCTGTAGTGGGCCTGTTTGGTGGCGGGGGAGGGGGGGGGGGCGATGCACCTTAAATTCCTGGGAGAATGGGCAAACCCTGGTTAAGTTTTGTTTTCTAAAGAAAATAGATATGTTTATGTCGTTCGGGGTGGGGAGGGGAACGCCCACGCCAAGACTCCAGAACTTCCGACGGCCATACTAAATGTACTGTTAACTAGTGAAGGAATGACTGCCGACGGCCGTACTAAATGTACTGTTAACTAGTGAAGGACTTTCGACGGCCATACTAAATGTACTGTTAACTAGTGAAGGAATGACTGCCGACGGCCGTACTAAATGTACTGTTAACTAGTGAAGGAATGACGACCATACTAAATGTACTGTTAATTAGTGAACAACTGCCGACGGCCATACTAAATGTACTGTTAACTAGTGAAGGAATGACGGCCATACTAAATGTACTGTTAACTAGTGAAGGAATGACGGCCATACTAAATGTACTGTTAACTAGTGAAGGAATGCCGATGGCCATACTAAATGTACTGTTAACTAGTGAAGGAATGACGGCCATACTAAATGTACTGTTAACTAGTGAAGGAATGACGGCCATACTAAATGTACTGTTAACTAGTGAAGGAATGCCGATGGCCATACTAAATGTACTGTTAACTAGTGAAGGAATGACGACCATACTAAATGTACTGTTAACTAGTGAAGAAGTAAATGCCGACGGCCATACTAAATGTACTGTTAACTAGTGAAGGAATGACGACCATACTAAATGTACTGTTAACTATTGAAGGAATGACGACCATACTAAATGTACTGTTAACTAGTGAATGACTGCCGACGGCCATACTAAATGTACTGTTAATTAGTGAAGTAATGACGACGCCCATACTAAATGTACTGTTAACTAGTGAACAACTGCCGACGGCCGTACTAAATGTACTGTTAACTAGTGAAGGAATGACGACGGTCGTACTAAATGTACTGCTAACTAGTGAAGGAATGCCGACGGTCATACTAAATGTACTGTTAATTAGTGAAGGAATGATCATTGACCATACAGGAACTGGGAAATCCCAGCTATAGATAAGACTCATGAACTTGTAAAATGCAGATCTTGCGAAAATGATATCGTGTTTGCTTCTCCACTGTATCGCATATATAAAGTGAGTTACATAAAGAATTGATTACGCAGATCATTGAAGATTGTGTTTATCTTTAGAGAAACCAGTGTTTAACAGACCATGTAGCCAAAATTATGCCCAGTTTTAAAGAAGCTACTTAAACTATTACAACAACGTAATATTTATCTTTTGTATTTTAGATTTACACCAATATAAAACTTATCTTTCATATTTACAGCAATATAATATGTATCTTTTGGATTTTAGATTTACGACAATATAATATTTATCTTTTATCTTTTTGCTTTACAGCAATATAATATTTATCTTTTAGATTTACAGCAATATGATATTTATCTTTTCGATTTTAAATTTAAAGCAATATAATATTTATCTTTTAGATATACAGAAATCATACGATTTTTTTTGGTTCTTTCAAATATAATACCAAAGGTTCGATGGTTACACCCATATAATATTTTAATAAAGATATATTTCAACGGACACTGTTTCGGTTGATACCCTGCACCAAACTACCCCACCCTCCCAACTCTCCATCACCCCCCCCCCTCCCCCTTCACACTCACACCCCGTGTCACCCTTCCTGTAATACACAATAAGCACTGATGCTCCAATGCTCTCAATGATCAAAATCCCATTTACCCAGAGAAATATGGCTCCCAGTTTGAAGATTGTAAGTGGATTTTGGATTAGAGAGTATACAATTCAAGTATTTAGAAACAGATACATCTGACCCCAGACAGTCGGTGGGTTGTGAGATACCACGAGATGACGCAATCGCCTCTTTTATTGTTGTTGGCGTGCGGGGTTTAATTAAAAAAACTTAATTGGATTGGAGTGTGTATGTGTGCGTGTAGGGAGACTTGAGAGTGTGCTTATGCATGCGTATTTGTGTGTGTGTGTCATGTGTGTGTGTTTGTGTGTGTGTGTCTGTGTGTGTGTGCGTAATTGTGTCTATTGCTCTTATAGTAGTATTATCTGCTTTTTTTCTACCGAGGTGTGTCATGTACCTACCCAGAGACACAGTTCTCTTTATGTTCATGCTATTGATGGTTTGGAGTGGCAAAAATTGAGATATCACTTAGACACCTCTGGTGAATAAAGTTGACTTTGCACTGGGGCGCCTCTGTTGACAAAAGGTGACTTAACACTGGGGCGCCTCATTGACAAAAGGTGACTTAACACTGGGACGCCTCTGGTGACAAAAGTTGACTTAACACTAGGGCGCCTCTTTGACAAAAGGTGACTTAACACTAGGGCGCCTCTTTGACAAAAGGTGACTTAACACTGGGGCGCCTCTGTTGAGAAAAGGTGACTTAACACTGGGGCGCCTCTGTTGACAAAAGGTGACTTAAGACTGGGGCGCCTCTGTTGACAAAAGTTGACTTAACACTGGGGCGCCTCTGTTGACAAAAGTTGACTTAACACTGGGGCGCCTCTTTGACAAAAGCTGACTTTGCACTGGGGCGCCTTTGGTGACTAAAGTTGACTTAACACTGGGGCGCCTCTGGTGACTAAAGTTGACTTAACACTGGGACGCCTCAGATTATAATGACCCAACATTTTTCTCGTGTACACGTCATCACTTTGTCTCCAGCAGCCCTCCAGGTGTCAGTCGATTACCTGGAAAAAAAACCCACACACCTGGATACAAACGTGATAAGACTAGCGCTAAAGGACACGGTGAGGGTGGGGATTATAACGATTAGCAGCTACATTACTACACACGTGTAACATGTACAGCCACAGTACAGCCCCAGTACAGTACAGCCATAGTACAGCCTCAGTACAGTACAGCCCCAGTACAGCCTCAGTACAGTCTGGGTACAGCCATAGTACAGCCTCAGTACAGTACAGCCCCAGTACAGCCTCAGTACAGTCTGGGTACAGCCACAGTACAGCCCCAGTACAGCCTCAGTACAGTCTGGGTACAGCCACAGTACAGCCCCAGTACAGCCCCAGTATAGCCTCAGTACAGTACAGCCCCAGTACAGTACAGCCCCAGTACAGTACAGCCCCAGTACAGTACAGCCTCAGTACAGCCCCAGTACAGTACAGCCCCAGTACAGCCCCAGTACAGTACAGCCCCAGTACAGCCCTAGTACAGTACAGCCCCAGTACAGCCTCAGTACGGCCCAGTACAGCCCCAGTACAGTACAGCCCCAGTACAGTACAGCCCAGGTACAGCCCCAGTAAAGTACAGCCTCAGTACAGTACAGCCTCAGTACAGCCCCAGTACAGCCCCAGTATAGCCTCAGTACAGTACAGCCCCAGTACAGTACAGCCCCAGTACAGTACAGCTCCAGTACAGTACAGCCTCAGTACAGCCCCAGTACAGTTCAGCCCCAGTACAGCCCCAGTACAGCCCCAGTACAGCCCCAGTACAGCCCCAGTACAGCCCCAGTACAGTACAGCCCCAGTACAGTACAGCTCCAGTACAGTACAGCCTCAGTACAGCCCCAGTACAGTACAGCCTCAGTACAGCCCCAGTACAGTACAGCCCCAGTACAGCCCCAGTACAGCCCCAGTACAGCCCCAGTACAGTACAGCCCCAGTACAGCCCCAGTACAGCCCCAGTACAGCCCCAGTACAGTACAGCCCCAGTACAGTACAGCCCCAGTACAGCCCCAGTACAGCCCCAGTACAGCCCCAGTACAGTACAGCCCCAGTACAGCCCCAGTACAGTACAGCCCCAGTACAGCCTCAGTACGGCCCAGTACAGCCCCAGTACAGTACAGCCCCAGTACAGCCCCAGTACAGCCCCAGTACAGCCCCAGTACAGCCCCAGTACAGTACAGCCCCAGTACAGCCCAAGTACAGCCCCAGTACAGCCCCAGTACAGTACAGCCCCAGTACAGCCCCAGTACAGCCCCAGTACAGCACCAGTACAGTACAGCCCCAGTACAGTACAGCCCCAGTACAGTACAGCCCCAGTACAGCCCCAGTACAGTACAGCCCCAGTACAGCCCCAGTACAGTATAGCCCCTGTACAGTACAGCCCCAGTACAGCCCCAGTACAGCCCCAGTACAGTACAGCCCCAGTACAGTACAGCCCCAGTACAGTACAGCCCCAGTACAGCCCCAGTACAGCCCCAGTACAACCCCAGTACAGCCCCAGTACAGCCCCAGTACAGCCCCAGTACAGCCCCAGTACAGTCTCAGTACAGTCTCAGTACAGTCTCAGTACAGTACAGCTATGTGTAGTAGCAAGCACGTAAGCCGCCTCTGTCCACGTGTTAATGAAACAACAACAACAATAATTAAACATTGTTAAAATGTTATTTTTTTTATTTCATCTACGTTAGTAGCTGACTCCATACAACGGAAACATGACTTTGCTTCAAAAAAATATCACAGTTCGATCACTCTATGGGTCGGCGTCCCGAGTTCCAATCCATGGGCTCATGATGCTCGAAAGCTGGGGACAGCAACTCTTCTAAGAGAGACAACTCCAAAATCAAACAACAGCTGCCTTGTAGATTGGACAAAAGCTATGCCAGCAAATCCAAAAAGAAAATCAGGCTGAAATCGAAGTCGACGGTCTATATGACACATAACATGTTGACACGTAATACTTAGTTGTGTTGGAGGGAATCCGGTAGGACATAAAAAAAATTAATTAAAAACTAAGAAGAAGGCAGACCCGTGTACTATGCATATCAGGTTCCGGGTAGACTTCTGTGGAGAGTTGCTCTACGGTTATTTTGTGCCCAATTGTCTGTGCATCTAAACTCACTTCAGACTTATATTAATGCATGTGCGTTTATTCACATGAGCAATTTTCGTACAGAAACTAAAGGTTGTAGCTAGAAGGTTTCACATCGAAACTAGTACACTAAAACTGGTATGTAGCCATACGGAAAATAGACCTCCACACTGAGACGTAGACCCCCACACTGACACCTAGACCCCCCCCCCACCCCACATCTTGGGGGGGGGGGAATGTCATATATAAATTACTTCACGCTAATTTGACAATGTTTACCTCCCCACCGTCACACATCGTCACCAAAAGCCATACCCTCTAAATGACGTCACACCTCAACCTAAGACCCCCCCCACCCCCATCAAAATTGCAGTTGAATTTTGTTTTAACATCGTTTTTTTTACAATACTGAGCTCGGTCAACAGTGGTAGTGTGAGTGGTGGTGTGGTTAGTGTCTTGGGAGGGGGGGAGGCGATATGTTTACCACCACCCCCCCCACCCCCACCCCCATCAAAATTGCAGTTGAATTTTGTTTTAACATCGTTTTTTTTTACAATACTGAGCTCGGTCAACAGTGGTAGTGTGAGTGGTGGTGTGGTTAGTGTCTTGGGAGGGGGGGGGGGCGATATGTTTACCACCCCCCCCCCTCCCCCTCTCCGGAAAGATGCCTGAAGAAACGCTGCACACGCCTCAGTTGATCCACGTCTATGGTGCGATTAGCTCCGCGTTGGTCCCCCAGTAGAAAAAATCGTATGGGTACATTGCGTGTCACGTTGTTGTGTGCTATTTTTAGCCGCCCACAACCAACCGGATATTTAGGTAAACACCGATCGGTGCCCTAATTACCTCGAGAAACTTTTCCACCGGAGGCCGGCCGGGGTCACGTGACCGCGACACGATCTCTCCCAAAGAGGTATCTATCTATAGATAAGAACGCGATATAATCGGTGTGCGGCGATCACGTGGGTGACACGTGTCTTACTTGCAGCGCAACTGTCGCGCACCCCACCTCCGTAAGTTGATTAGGTTGATGTGAAGCTGTCCAGATTTGTTAGACTTTCTGGCCAACTGTGCGCAAAAAAAAAAAAAACCCTATGAGTCATAGAAAAAAAGTAAGCAGATAAAACGTAAAATGTATCGGGACTAGTTTGGTACCCAAGTACCCAAATTAACTATAGAAAAAATGCACACAAAAAACTATTAAACTACAAGATTTTATTAGGAATTGAATACCTTTACTAAAATTCAAGAAGCGACCCACGCTTTTAATTCTAGTTATTTAAATAGTAGTTCATTTTTATTTATTTAAAGAAAAATTGTGTTCTCCTCTGTAATGCATTATTACATAAAAGCTTGTTATTAAAACGCTTTTAATGCACTTTTTTCTGTACTTTGAAAATTTTAATACAATAGAGTTGCACGACTAAAAACCACTGCGTGTCAAGTTTTATAGATATTGGTCAGCCAGAGGTGGTCGAAATTTCGATCGCCAGTTTGGATACATATCGCGACAAAAGACAAAAGCACGACAGAAAGACAGAGGAAGCAAGTTAAATAAAAGCTTGTAATTAAGAGGCTAAAAAATGATTGAATTCCTTGTGTTGGGTAAATGTACAGGCATTTTGTTTTCAAGTAAAATGGTTGCAATACTATGTATATTAAAGTAGTAACAATAAAAGTGTAAATGTAGCATAGCTTTTAAAATTTAACACTATTGCGCGAATTGTGTAAAATAGGACTATTTACACGATTCTTCTTGTATGGGTCATTTGGTTGAATTTGTGAGAATCTCTTGAATTAAAAAAAAAAAAATTCAATATCTGATATGCTGAACAAAGCTTATATCTTTTAAGCACAAAAAGTGTTTGCCAATAGAAATTATGTAGCAGAATAAAGACAAGGATTAGGAAATTTCATCGGATCATCTTTATAAAGTTGAAGGTTTGATTGTGTAATGGTCCATCTGGACGTTTCATGGGTTATGTAAGTGACTACCCACATTATGAATTACAAAGTTAGAATCTTGTTGATTTTTGCACAGTGTTTCTTCCAGACTTTTTTCTCCGGGGGGTGGGGGTGGGGGTACTTGAAAATTTCGGGGAGCGGACTAAAATGTTCAGGGAGGGGGGGCGGGCAGACACTGTTAAAAGTATATATTTTCTATATAAATTCCATTTCGTTCTGAGGGGGGGGGGGGAGAAACTCTGGATGGAGCCCAGTCGAGTTCATCTTTTTTAAGGTCTCCCCTAGACCTCGTGGTTCTCAGTACATTTGGAATTGTTCCACCCGCTCTCGGTATTTATAATTAATAAAGTTGTACATAGCAGCTAAATTCAAGTTTGTGAAACGTTTGAATTTGATACATTATAGATCTATTTATGATAAAGTTAACAGAGAAGAAAACATAATTCTGAAAAGTCTGAATCCATTAAAGTAATAGAATTCCCGTGGGGTGAAATAATATTTCGGTGTGCATATTGTTTACAAAGTAAATTCTTCTGATGTAAAGCTGATGTACCAAGTATACTTACAAGCATACATGCTGATGGTAGGTAGGATGTCAAGTATACTGACAAGTTTATTTGGTGGGTAGGATGTTAAGTATATGACAAGTTTATATGGTGGGTAGGATGAACAAGTATACTGACAAGTTTATATGGTATGTAGGATGACCAAGTATACTGACAAGCATACATGCAATGTGCAGCATCCCTAGTTGAGTGCAGATATTCCACTGAGCTGGGCATCACACGCATGGCTGGTGTCTACAATTAGGTCAACAGAGCACGTGACGTGTGAACTGCACGCGGCTGACTGCCTGCAAGTACTGCCTGCCGGAGGTACTGTCTGCAGGTATGGGGAGCTTCACGCCCACTGAACAATTCCTTTTCCTGCTCTTTAAAACGTCATTTTGATGATGTAGCTTTTGTGTCCCGCCATTTCTGTGATTTAGTTTTTTTCTACGCAGCAATTTTGATGATGTAGTTTTTTCTGCCCACGCCCCCATTTTGATGATGTAGGCAGCTTTTCTTCCTCCCCTATATTTTTATGATGAAACTTTTCTGCCCCCCTCCCTCCCTTACATTCTGATGCTGCAGGCTTTCTGAACTCACCCCCCACCCACACACATTTTGATGATGTAGCCTATCTTCACTCACACACACACATTTTGATGATGTAGCCTTCCTTTACTCACCCCCCCCCCATGCACACACATTTTGATGATGTAGCCTTCCTTCACTCACCCTCCCCCACTCACACACACACACACATTTTGATGATGTAGCATTTCTTTACTCACCCCCCCCCCACATGCGCACACATTTTGATGATGTAGCCGCCTATCTTCACTCACACACACACACATTTTGATGATGTAGCCTATCTTCACTCACACACACACACATTTTGATGATGTAGCCTATCTTCACTCACACACACACACATTTTGATGATGTAGCCTATCTTCACTCACACACACACACATTTTGATGATGTAGCCTATCTTCACTCACACACACACATTTTGATGATGTAGCCTATCTTCACTCACACACACACATTTTGATGATGTAGCCTATCTTCACTCACACACACACACACATTTTGATGATGTAGCCTTTCTGCACTCGCCCCCCCCACTCCCCCCACACACACACACACATGATGATGTAGCCTGTCTTCACTCACACACACACACATTTTGATGATGTAGCCTTTCTGCACTCGCCCCCCCCACTCCCCCCACACACACACACATTTTGATGATGTAGCTTGTCTGGCACATCAGGAGAAGTGTATCAATAATTTACAGTTGAAGCCGTTTTGTGGTTTGTGTTGCGTGTCAAGAACCGAGGTTGGTGGTTCATCTTGACCTAGACCTTGCTGCCATGACCCATGTCCTGTCTCACCATGCCTTGTCTCTCCTGTCTCACCATGACTTGTCTCACCATGTCCTGTCTCACCATGCCCTGTCTCTCCTGTCTCACCATGACTTGTCTCACCATGTCCTGTCTCACCATGCCCTGTCTCTCCTGTCTCACCATGACTTGTCTCACCATGACCTGTCTCACCATGTCATGTCTCACCATACAATGTCTCACCATACCATGTCTCACCATGACTTGTCTCACCATGTCCAGTCTCACCATGCCCTGTCTCTCCTGTCTCACCATGCCATGTCTCACCATGACCTGTCTCACCATGTCCTGTCTCACCATGTCCAGTCTCACCATGCCCTGTCTCTCCTGTCTCACCATGCCATGTCTCACCATGACCTGTCTCACCATGTCCTGTCTCACCATGTCCAGTCTCACCATGCCCTGTCTCTCCTGTCTCACCATGCCCTGTCTCAACATGTCCTGTCTCACCATGACCTGTCTCACCATGTCCTGTCTCACCAAGCCCTGTCTCACCATGCCCTGTCTCTCCTGTCTCACCATGCCATGTCTCACCATGACCTGTCTCACCATGTCCTGTCTCACCATGTCCAGTCTCACCATGCCCTG